CTTGGGGCACTGTGGACAGGGCAGCTGGACAGGTGGGGGTGGAGGTGGGGGCGTGGGCTCAGCTGGAGCTGGGGAGACAGTTGCTACTTTAGTGGGGGTTCCACTTTTCCCAGTGTGAGTTCGTCGGTGGTAGAGGAACTTGGTCATGTTGCTGAAGGTCTTGCCACAGCGACAGCGGTGTAATGGGTTGGCAGTATGGACTCGCCGATGGGCCACCAATGTGAGCTCAGTGCCAAAGCCACGGCCACAGTCCACACAGAGGTAGCGGGCTTCCCCACGGTGCAGCCGCTGGTGCTGCTCCAGAGAGGCTGCCTTCTTGAACACTTTGGAGCAGGTGGTACACTCATGGGTACCACCCACGTGGGCTCGTCCATGCGCCATCAGACGGTTAGCAGAGCTGAAGCTGCGCTGACATTGGCTGCAGTGGAAGGGGAGGGTGGCAGACGCTGGACCACGAGATGCCCTTCGGTGTCGGCGGCGTGCAGCTGAAGTGGTACAGTGCTGGGAACAATCTCCACAGCTCTGAGCTCGATCAGCCATGGCCTTGTCACCTCCCACATCATCAGCAGTGAGCTCTGAAGCTGCTTCCTCCTCATCTGTCTCCTCCTCTTCCTCCTCCTCCTCTTCTAACCCATTGCGCTCTTCTTTCTCCAGGGAGTCAAAGTGGGTGCCCTGATGTTCCAAGAACTCTTCAGGGGTGGCACAGAGGGTAGAACACTCGGGACACTCATAGGGCTCCATCTTGACTTCTGGTGGTGGGGGTGGTGGTGTTGGGGGAGGCAAAGGAGGTGGCACTGGTGGCTCATCAGCTGTACTGGAAAGGTGCTGAGTCTTTCGATGAGCCACCCACAGCTCAGGTGATGGGAAGAGCTCCTGGCAGTCGCCACACTGGTACTGGATCTGGCTTACAGACTCCTGCAGGTGGGCATCCTGGTGTGCCAGGAGCTCACTGGGGGAGAGGATGAGCTGGCTGCATTCACCACATTGGAAAGGTCCGTCCCCAGTGTCAGGCACTAGCTCAGACTCCAGGCCTGTGTCCTGGGCGGTTAGCACCTCCTCCTCTGACATGGTGGGCAGGTGCTGTTCCTGGTGGGAGAGGACTTCCTCCAGGGTGTTGTAGAGGCTGCCACACTCAGAGCACATGAACTGGTGGTGCTGGAAGAAGAGGGACGAGGCCAGCGCCTCCCCAGGGGTCATCTCAGTCACTGTGGTTGCCATCTCTGCCAGTTCTCCTGACACCGGTGTCGAAATGTCCACTGCTCCTGGTGACTGTGTTGGTATCTCAGCTGCTTCTGCCACTATCTCTGTCATTATGGGAAGGCAGTGTCTGGAGAAAGACGAGCAGGAGTCAGTGGTCCATCAGGACCCTAAGGGGGGCGGGTGTCTCAGGAGTTCCCTTGCTCACCCCATGAGTCACCAGTCTGTCAATCCGTCTCACATCACCTTTATGTCTTAGCCTATCACAGTCACTACAGTCAGGTGTCTGCAAGAGAGGGGGTGCTCTGGAGCCTGGCCTCTGGTGCTGCCCCGCCCACTTGCACACATGAGGTTTCCTGTTGTGTAACACCTTTCCTCCTCTGGGATATTCATTTAAGAGAGGAGTGGGTATGAGCCCTCCCCTTTTACTTCTCTCACCTGTAAAATGGAGCTAAAAGTCGGACTGACCACAAGACTAAGAAGATACTTCGTTAACAAAAGTCAATACTTGGGTTTATATGCAACCCAGCCTGGCCTCAAACTTGCTATGCAACAGAGGATGGTTTTGAAGTGATCCTTCTGCCTCAGCCTCCCCAGTGCTGGGATTACAGGTGTGCACCATCACACTTACCACCCAAGATACAAAACTCAAGTTTGCTGGGTGCATAACGCCTGTAATCCCAGAAGAGGCAGAGGCAGGTGGATGGATCTCTGTGAGCTCAAGGCCAGCCTGGTCTACAGAGCTTATTCCAGGACAGCCAGGGCTACTCTGTCTCAAAAAACAAATAAACAACAAAACAAACAACCAATCAACCAAAACTCAAATCCTCCTCTGTGTCCTACGTCCTCTGCTCTTTCTCTGGTTTCAACCCAACACCGTTCACATAACAGGCACTCACAGTCCATTCTGCAAACCCTCCCTAAACCTAGGAGCTAGATTTCTGACCCAATCCCAATCTTTTTTTTTTTTTTTTTGGTTTTTTTCGAGACAGGGTTTCTCTGTGGCTTTGGAGCCTGTCCTGGAACTAGCTCTGTAGACCAGGCTGGTCTCGAACTCACAGAGATCCGCCTGCCTCTGCCTCCCGAGTGCTGGGATTAAAGGCGTGCGCTACCACCGCCCGGCTCAATCCCAATCTTTTAAAGGGCATTTTATTTTTACTTTATTACACTTACCAGGTGAGGGTACATGTATGGAGGTAAGAGGACAACCTGAAGGATTTATCCTATCATGCAGGTTCTGGAATCAAACTCAGGTCATCAGGTTTAGTGTCAATTGCCTTTACCCACTGAGCCATCCTGAAGGTCCCCCACCATTTTTTCCCCTTATGTTACTGTGTGCCTGTATGCATGAACGTGTTGTAGCAAACATGTGGCGGTCAGGGGAAAACTTTGTGGAGTTCAAACTTTCCTCCCACACTTATGTGGGTTTGAGGATGAACCTAGATCATCAGGGTTGTGTGATATTCACCTTTACCTGCTGGGCCATCTTACTGGCTCCTGGTTTGGTGTCATGTCCCGTGTCATCGTCCCGTCCCCCCCCCCCCCCGCCCTGGTTTTTCTATACAGGGTTTCTCTGTGTAGCTTTGGAGCTTGTCCTGGAACTCGCTCTGTTTGTAGACCAGGCTGGCCTTGAACTCAGAGATCCTCCTGCCTCTGCCTCCGAGTGCTGGGATTAAAGGCATGTACCACCACCGTCAGGTCTGGTTTCAATTTCTGTTTTTGAAACTGGAGCTTATAAATATCTAGGCTGCTGGCCTTGACCTCAGCATGTACACAGAAAAGTCTGGTTCTCAGTTTTGTTTCCTCTGCCTCCCAAGTGCCAATGGTCACCTTCTTTACCTCTTCTGTGTCAGAAGTAGGCAGACTTTAGTTTATAGCGCTGGCATAGAAGCTGCTCACGAGCTCACGGTGGTGGCGCATGCCTTTAATCCCAGGATTGGGAGGCAGAGTTAGGCCGATCTCTGTTGAGTTCAAGGCCAGCCTGGGCTACAAACAGAGCGAGTTCCAGGACAAGCTCCAAAGCTACAAAGAGAAACCCTGTATTGAAAAGCCAAGAAGAATTTTTCCAGAAACAGTCAAATGGGGCTGGGGTGGTGGCAGGAGAAGACGGAGGGTTGCACTCTGCCTTGATTACATCCCCACTTGTCAGACAGAACACCACCACCCCCCCCCCCCCCCCCCCCGCCTGGGGCTAGGATCAGAACACGCTGCTTGGCTACTTGGCTTGACCCTGGGAAGGAGTGGACGGACAAACTTTACAAAATATGAATGAGCTCACACAAGAAAAAGCGTGGTGCATAGGAGCCAGTTTACCATGGCTCACTGAAACAACACGGACACAATCCGAATACATGTCTTTCTAGAAAATAGCCCAGGTAACTTGACATCGGTACTTTTCTCGCCTGCAATCCTTTCGCCCCATCCTACAGTGTGTCAGGGCAGGGTAGGTGGAATTTAGCTTAAACCTCCGCGTATACACAAACTAAATCTGAGCACCTCCACCAGGGGCCGTAAAGTTCAACTTTCCCGCTACACTGCCTTTTTCTCTTATCAAGACTCCTCTGCTCGGCAGCGTGAGGGCCCCCTGCAGGGGTGGGGTGTGCAAGCGAGCTCAAACTGGGTCCCGCACACACCAGGGGCTCCACCGACGCCTCCAGGGCACACAGGAAGGAGCTGTCGATCAGCCCGCGCTACTCCAGCCCTCAGCGCAGGCCCCAAGGCTCTCCGACCCTCAGTGTGCCCTTCCTTCTTCCTCCACTCTCTCCCTGCACCCAGCGCTCTCTTCCCCGCCCGCCCCGCGGCGCCCTCACCCAGCTCGCTCACCTCCAAGCAGCCCCTGCCGCTCTTGACACGGACCCTCCGCAGCGGGTGTGTGGGACCCCTCACTATCCACGCCTCCTATTGGGCGGCGCCCTCACCCGAGGCAGCCAATCAGAGCTGGCAGCGCAGGGCACGCGCCCTCGCGCCTGCGCGTCGGTACTCAGGCGGGGCTTCGAGAGTTTCTCCACGCAGACATCAGTGCCCTGTGGGCGGTGCCCGGGTCCGGGAGAGGCGCCTGCGCAGTTCCCCCGGGCCGCCCCTCGCCTGTTGTTTGAAAATTCAGCGGAGAAGTGTGCGTCCGGGTTGAGCGTGGTCTCCTAAGTGAGCTTGGGCTACGCGAGACTTTGACAGGTGGCATCTCTTAGCGGAAGAGGCTTAGCGTCTCTGAAGCATAACTTCAGAGTCAGACACACTTGAGGTACTTTTCCTGGGCCGCCTCAGTTTTGCTCATATGTAAAGTGAGCTTGAATCCCCTCCTCCTGGAAGGCTATTTGGAGGCATTGGATGTTAAACAGGTGAAAAAACCGTTCAGCGTAGGGCCTGATTGCGCTGATAACTGGGTAACCACTATAGCCCACCTAACATAGAAGCCTTGCCGTTTCTAGATGGCTTTCCCTTCCTCTCGTTCTCCGTCAGGTTCAGTGAGATTCACACAGACAGCGCACAGTGGACTGTGTTTCCACTGCCGCCCCTGTCACAGGTGGAAAAGCCAAGGCCTAGAGAAAGGCAACTACCAGTATCGAGCCAATACCTCGCGCCCAGGTCTCCCGCCTCTCAGAGAGATAATTCCGGGGGTGGAAATCAGTCCCGGAAGAGACCTGGCTCTGGCGTGTGCGGGCCCTGACCTTGACTCACCTAAGTGGGGAGGAGGAGCCCTCACGCTCAAGGCCCCGCGTAGGGGACGCGAAGACGCCGTAGCTCTCCTTCTCTGACAGGCTTGCTCTCCTAGGTGCTGGTTAGGGGAGCTTCTGAATGGCTCCGAAACTCAGAGGGCAGAGAAGAAAGGGACTGTGTAGAAGGGCGGTTCTAACCCTGGGTGTGGGTGTCTGTGTCGAGAGGTCCTGATGGACGTCTTCGGGATGTGCACATAGGGGTGAGGGAGTCTTTGGCGATTTGGGGAGAAGTATTCTCGGGCATGCGACTGGAGGACTTTTACATTGGGGATGGGGAGCTGGAGGAGGGTTTCCAGACAGGCTCGGAGACCGAAGAGTTGAGATGTGGTTTCCTGGATGCCACCTAGGAATGGTGGGGTGGTACTTTAATATAAAACCGGATTACGAGCCCTGCAAGCTCGTGGGAGCCCTGACCGTCGTGACTGTTGTACTTTGCTCCGGCAGCTTGGTGGCATTCGTCATGTGGGCGTTTAGGTCGTGATCAGGTGGGGGATGTAGCTGTGGGATGAATAATCCCAACAGGTCACGTCGTGGGATCCAAGAGACACACACCGAGACTTTAAACTTCGAATCACGACCAAGCGCCAGAAGCAGCTAGGCTCTGCAGCTGCGCAAGCGCAGCACTGGCGAGTGGGGGACGCTTCTGTTGGGAACGCGTCAGGCGGCCTGGAGGGGTGGGGCTTAGAGGCCTCATTCTGCGCTTGCGCTGTAGGGGCGTGGCGGTCGCACCTGCGCGAGTTGGGTGAAGGAGGAGGAGGAGCGAGATGACGCAGGCGTAATAATAGAGAAGGTGCCAGAAAGATCCAAAACAAGTGGCTGCGGCCGTCGCCCAGGAGTCATCGGACGCCGGAATCTGGTGAGGATCCAGAGAGGTCTAAGGGTGACTGATGGCGGGTAGATGGGACCTCTTGGGTGCTAGTGTGAGGGCAGGACCGATTGCCCTTCTAGAGTGAGTAGGGGCCGGGTTCAGACAGTACCACCTGTGTGGAGCTCGGGACTGTCTCTGTCGATCCCACTTGCAGAGAACCGAGGGTCACTTTTGAGTGGTACCACTTGGGTGGGGCGTTGGGGCTAGCCGAAAGGTACTGGTGGACAGAACCAAGGACCACGGCCGGACATTTGCCACCCAAAGTCACCGGGCATTGTACAAGGTGCTCTGCAATGGGCCGTGAGGCTCATTCGGGCTGATCTCCTAGCTTGGTCGGTGGCACTTTCGGAACATACCACCTGGAGAGGGGCGCCTGGGCTTGGCTGGCCCGACTAGTCGCTGGACCGGTGGGGTCTGGCGTCTCGACCTGTTATTAGGGTACCTGGGGTGATACCATTCTTGTCCGTGGGAGGGGGTATCTGAAACCGTTGAGGGTATGGGGCGACCCTATCCGGAGACACCTCGCGGGGGTCACACGAATGGCCTGTGTGGTCTCTCTGGGCCACCGCGTCGCTGACCACGACATCCTCCCCGCCGTGTGGGTTCTAGGCCCTGGTTCTGAGCTTGTTCCGCACCCCTCCCCTGGGAATGGCGTTGTCCGGGTCGACCCCGGCCCCGAGCTGGGAGGAGGATGAGTGTTTGGATTACTACGGCATGCTGTCGCTTCACCGTATGTTCGAGGTGGTGGGCGGGCAGCTGACCGAGTGCGAACTGGAGCTCCTGGCCTTCCTGCTGGATGAGGCTCCCGGCGCCCCCGGAGGCCTGGCCCGTGCCCGCAGCGGCCTGGAGTTGCTTCTGGAGCTGGAACGCCGTGGGCAGTGCGACGAGAGCAACCTGCGGCTGCTGAGCCAACTCCTGCGCGTGCTGGCCCGTCACGACCTACTGCCACATCTGGCCCGCAAGCGGCGCCGGCCAGGTAAGGTTCAAATGGGAGGTTGCAGGACTTCTGGAACCAGAACACCTTGCTCCCACTGGGCCCCTGTGCTTCCTTGATACGAATTCCAGTCTCCCTCCCCGCCCTTTTCCCCCAATGAGAAACCCAAAAAGGGAGAGGGCATAACTTAGGTTAGGAGCGAGCTTGTAGAATTTGATCATATCAGCAAAGGTTGTGGCCACCGTGTGTGGAACTTTGTATGCCAGGCAGAGGTAAACCTTTCGTATGAACTCTACCCCAGCACACAGGGAAAACAACAGGCTTAGAGAAGTTATCTGGCTGCATGTGAGAACTACATCCATCATGGTGACCACAAAGAGAATAAGGCCAAGATGTTTATTCCATGAAGCTTGCATTAGTAGAGGGAGCCGCTTAATAATAAACGAGGAACTTAGCTTCAGATAATAGCCATATATTGGGTGAGATGGATAGAATGCCTCAAAATGAGGGGAGGTGGCCCCAACCTGGGTAATGGTGAAGGAAAAGTCTAAGAAGATGGCATTTAAAAAGGGGAGGGGGGGGCTTGAAAATATGTCACACCTAACATGTAGCAAGCAAAGGGAACAAGATTCAAACCTGCCTGTCCCTTCTCCAGCGTTGAGGCCCTTGATCCTTGGACAGAAAGGGAAGACCTGGGAGGGGTCAGGTACCAGGAAGCCTGTGTACATAGGTAGACTCTTTCTTGAGAGATAGAGTGTGGCGGCTGGAGAGGAGGGATTATGAGCTTTCCTGTCCCATAATAAGCCTGTGGGATTTGCACAAACAGAAGGGCACCTCTAGGGATAGCTGTCTGATTTTGGAAAAATATGTCTGAGTGTCAGGTTCTAGAAGAGATGAAAGATGCCCCCCCCCCATAAGCCAGGAGCACAGGGGGCAAGGGCTGTTGCAGGGACCTGGTCTATTGGACGTATAAGACTGATAGCTGGAGCTTTGATATGGGTTGGGCAGCCCCATAAGCACTGTGTCCTAGGGGCCCGTGAGCAACCTGTAGGCGGGAAGTGCCTGAGAAGGAGTGGGTGTTTGGGCGTGACCTCTGAGATCTGGGGTTAGGCATCCTATGGTCCAGGCATTCTTCCTAGGAGGCTAGACCTGGGAGATAAGGAAGCTGTGAATACTGATTCCATTCTCTTTCCCCAGTATCCCCCGAGCGATACAGTTATGGCAGTCCTGGCTCTTCTTCGAAAAGGACAGAGGGCAGTTGCCAGCGTCGGCAACAGTCAGGTAGTTCTTCTGATTCCCAGCAGAGTCAGTGGGACACAGGTGAGTCCACTAGGCAGGTAGGGTGACAGGGTCCCTGTCTCTTTCTTAAACTGTCCTGGCCCATCAAGGAAATGGCCTGAAGGGTCACTGTCTGTTTTTGTTATTGCTATAGGTAGAAACGTGTGTCCTGAAGCAACGGGGTTGTGTCACATGGACTCAGGCTTCTATCAGATGGCATCATGTTGAGGCATGTGACCTGGCAGCCTTGGCTGGGCACATTTCTGAGATTTATTTCATGGTGAATGCCTTTAATTAGTTCAATTACTGTATTCCAGTCAGTGTACACAATCCTCCTCCCCCTGATTTTTAATTATGTAAAATTTCAAATGTCCAGAGAAGTTAAGATAATACAGAGAATATCTCCACCTGGACTTAGGGGGCACAGACATCTGCCACCGTGTTCTGAGTGTAGTGTGTGTGTAGAAAATGCTGAGGTTTTTGTTGAACTTTTTGGTAGTAAATTACAGACATCAATAGCCTTGCCTTGGAATTAGCTGGCATAATTTGAGAATAAGTTTTCCTCTGCCCTTTGAAGACTGTTATCACACCTAAGAAAATGAGTATTAGTTCTCTGACACCTTCATGGTCTACTTTTGAACTTCCTAAGATGTGTGCGGTTTCAGAGCCTGTTTATGTTGTTGTGTATGCAGCTTAAAAAAGAAAAGCTCTGCTAGTTACTGTTTAGAGATGGAGTCTCATTCTGCAGCCCAGGCTGGCTTAGAACTCACTCGTTTGTAGCCAAGACTCAGCTACAAATTAGAGCAGTGGTTCTCAACCTGTGGGTCGTGACACACAGCCCTTCACAGGGGTTGCTTAAGACCAATGGAAAACACAGCTGTTTCCATTCAGAGTCATAACAGTAGCAAAATTATAGTTATGAAGTAGCAATGGAAATGATTGTATGGTTGGGTTCACCACAACATAAGGAACTGTATTAGAGGGTCGTGACATTAGGAAAGTTGAGACCCATGGAACTAGAGGCAGTTCTCTGACCTTGTCCTCCCCAGTGTTGGAATTAGAGGTGTGAGCCACCGTGTCCAAGTGGCATGCAGTTTTTTATATCTTTTAACCTCTATAGAAAGAAACTTCTTCCTTACCCGGCAGACAGCCTGACTGACTACCTACCTTCCTTCCTTTCTTCTTTCTGGGGCTGGACCTGGAACCTGGGCCTCCTACATCCTTACTGCCCTCTATACCCCTGAACCACGACTCCCACACACCTCCTCCGTGGCCCAGAGTGTTCTGCTTTTGACTTGTCCACCTACAGGGCTGATTGGTGTGTACAGCATTCTGACTGCTTCTGGTTGCTACATGGTGGTCCGTCTGACTTCCTGCAGAGTGGTCATTAGGTGCAAAGGGTTGGTTTGATTTGGATTACACATTTTTGGCAGGAATGTTCCTTGATCAATGCGTTCTCCTTGTGTTGGGACCTGTCATGAAATTTGCACTGTAAGTAGGGACATGTGGTCAGCTGGTTCTGGCCAGATTTGTATGTGTGAAGCTATATTTGTGTGTGTTGATGTGTGATGTGCTTATATGCGTGTAGGTGTGTCTGTGAAGGTCCATGTTCACACGTGTGCATGTCTGTGGAGAGGCTATAAGTTGGCACTAGCTGTCCTGATTCACACTGTTTATTGGGTGGGACAAGGTCTTTGGCTGCTCCTCGAGCCAGCTTGCCCTGGGAATCCTGTCTCTGCCTCCTGGGTACTGGGATGGCAGCTGAGCCTTCATGTTCGCCTCACAGGCATATGCAGCTTGGGCAGCAGGTGCATTATCCGCTGAGCCATCCGCGAGGCTCAGTGAAGAAATGAAGCTTTCTTGCTATGGTTACTAGTGTGTAAGAAGATGCTTTTTAGCGTTCTCTGTACTCAACTTGTTCCTCCAGGGGGATGTAGCATCATTCTGTGAACCCTGTTTGAACCATTTACCATGGTAATATTTGTAAATGGTGACTCATTTGTTTATTTGCTTATTTGTTTTACAGCTTTTTTGTGAAAATAAACTTGAAGCAGGTTCTCAGTTGCCCATATTCCCTTGCTTCAGCCAACCTTGTATCTGGGATTACTGTCTTGTTGCAGTGAGGCTGGAACAAAGAGTAGCTTTAAAAATGTTGTTTTCATTTTTAATTATTTTTTTGTTTTTATGGTACTAGAGATTAAACTGAGGGCTTTGTTCATGTGAGGCAAAGGCTTCTCTCACCAGGCTGTGCTCCTAGAACCGCATTGGATTTTAGGAAGGAGCTCTATAGTTGAGCTGCCCCCCAGCCCTTCTTTTCTCTTTCCAATTTAACAGCAGGGTATCACCAAGTAGTCCTGACTGGAAACTCACCTGAGATGCACCTGCCTCTACCCCCTGAGTGCTGGAATCAGAGGTGGCACCACGACTGCCTGGCTTTGTTTACTTTGTTAGCCAATTAGTCATTCTTACCGGCATTCAGATTGCTTTGCTCTGTCCTTTTGACTTGTCTGCGTCACTCTCTGAGTGACATTCCTGATGTCCTGGGCTTACCTTGTACTTCTTACCCCCAAAGTCATCTGCTTGTCAAGAACCCTGGTTTCTGTTAGAGGCCTGGATGTTTAGAGACCAATAGCTGGGTGTGTAGTCTGCTTCTCAGCTGCCTGGGAAAGCGGATGCCTGCTTTTCAGAAAAAGTTCTCCGAGCTGGGTTTGGTGACTTGTGCCAATAATCCTTGAGGCTTTTAAGTTTACTTGAATTATGTGTATGTGTTTGGGTTTGCGCACTTGAGTGCTGTTCCCGGAGGAATCAAGAAGAGCAATGTGCAAGCTAACTGCTGAGCCTTCTCTTGGGCCCCTGACTTTTTTTTTTAAATAGTGAAAGTCTTGGCTGTTGGCACTGAGGTGGGTTTACTTTGTTTTCCAGCAGTAATGAGGTGACAACAAATTTTATCTGTTGTATTTGATTTGCTACTAATGTATTCTTTCAGTCTTGCAACAGGAGTAACCTGTCAGTGGTGTTCAGAATCCTTCTTGTCTACAGGGAGTTGCAAACTGAACACATTTATTTTGTTACATGTTCTCTTCCTTCATTTTTTTTGTAAATTTTTCCAACTCAGCTTTCCTTTAAAATCTTGCTGCTAGAGTGTGTGTTTCCGTGTGTGAGAGAGAAAAAGAGAGATAGAGGGACAGAGAGAGAAAGGCAAAGAGAGCGAATGCTGAGGGGGTTCATGGCACACAGATACGGAAGTCAGAGGATAACTCTGTGGAATGGCTTCTCTTTCTGCCTTTATGTGGTTCCAGGAATTGGACTCTGGTCAGCAGGTATGAGCAGCAAGCTCCTTTACCCACGAAGCCATCTCTCCAGCTCTCTCTTTCTGGTGTTATTTTGGTTCTAAGGTGGGGTTTTATTATGTAGTCCAGACTGGCCTGGAATCCCTTGATCTTTTAACTCAGCCTCACTCCCCACTGTCAGCATCCATTGGCTGGAGCACAAGATGGGTTTGTATTGATTCTGAGCGAGAGAGGGAGGGGGAGGGAATATGGGTGTGTGCTTGTGTTTGTGTGTGTAAGCATGCATGCGTTTTGAGAGGATCTCACTCTGTAGACCGGGCCGCCCTTGAGCTCACAGTGATCCGTCTGCCTTTGCCTCGAATGCTGGTCACTCTTTCTTTGTACTTGTTGTGCTTTGGTCAGATCCAGCTGAGTGTGCAGTCAGTGTTCTAAGGTACTTGCCCTAATTCCTTCATCAGAATTCGGTGTCGCCAATTATGTGCACTTAGGTTCATCCGTTTGTTTATTATTTGCTTCTTTTCATTTTAAGTGTATATGACTTAACAGTTACATAACTCAAAAGGCAAAGCTAAAAGCATTTCAAGGAGTCTGTCTGCAGCCAGTTTCAGTTATTTCTAATGTGTCCTTTCAGGGCTCCCAGGAAAGTAACAGATGTAAGGCGTGTTCTGATTCTTCTCTTGTGGGGTTGTAAACTGTACACATTTATCCTCTCACAGGCCCTGTCTATATTTTGGCATTCTTTCTTCCTGGTCCTGAGCTGGCTCTCCTATGTCTTCCAGGTTCCCCTCCCACCAAAAGGCAGCGGCGGAGTCGGGGACGCCCTAGCAGTGGTGCCAGGCGGCGGCGGAGAACAGGCCCAGCACCTGTGCAGCAGCAGCACCAGGAGCTGGGCAGGCCCTCATCAGAAGGCAAAGTGACCTGTGGTAAGTATCCATGGGCCTTGAGAGTCCTTATGCCCATGGTAGACTACAGAGTTGGAGGGTGAGCCACACTGCATTGACCTGGGATGTGATACTGGTGGGCCATCTGTTGAGCAGTGATATTCTTGACTTCTCTGGTGCTGTGTGATGTAGGATCAAATCACATACACACATTCACACACACACACACACTCGCGCGCGCGCGATATAGGTATGCAGCCTTTTCTGAAGCAGTGAAAGATATGGTGAGTTTAGAAAAGCCAGGACTCTAGGTCAGTCTGACAAGTTAACATCTTAGCTTTGGCTTTTGGTTTTTGAGAAAGGGTCTCACTATGTATCCCTGGCTGTCCTGAATTCACTCTGTAGATCAAACAGGCCTCAAACTTACAGAGATCTTCTCGCCTTTGCCTCCCAAGTGCTGGGCTTTAAAAGTGTGAGCCACTGTGTTTGGCTTTAGCCCAGGCATTTAAAGAAGCTGCCTGACCTTGGGCAGGTGACTGAGTGGGGTGGGAGTCAGGATCCCACATGGAACAGTAAGATGATGAAGGTCTGCCTAGGGCTGCTGTCGGGATAGCAGTTCCCCCCATAATCCACTTGGAACAGTACCTAGCACAGGCCATGTGCGTGTGAGGCTTGGTGTCTGGGGCTTGTAGTGGGGAGGCCCTGTCCCTGTAGAGCTGACCTTGCAGCTGAGTGGCAGTCCATTGGAGCTAGGATTGCTGAAGCAATGGGAGATACTGTCAAGGGCTGGTGGGGAAGCCAGTCAGGCCCTAGCAGAAGGCTGGGCAACTACAGAATGGGTGGGAGTTTGGATTTTTGTCCATGCTTCTAGTTTCTTTTCTTTTCTTTCTTTTTTCCCCCTCTGAGTTGAGATAGGCTTTTGTTATAACTTACCATTGCCTGGTAGTCATATATATATATATATATATAGCACCAAATATATAGTACCAAATCTGGACTTTACCTTGGCATCTTCCTCCCTCATCCTCCCCAGTGATAGTACTGTAGGCATGTAACCTCCATCCTAGGCTCTTGGGATCAGTCTTTGCCCTTGAGATATTTCACTGTGTTCTGGGGGTGAGGCTTGGGGAGGACAGCCCTCTCTGGTCCCTCTTTCCCTGGGCTGGATAGACCTGGGAACACAAAAGGACTCAGATACAATCTCTCAGACTTCAGTGCCTAGGCTACGCGAACACGGTGAAGAAAATAGCAGCCAGGCTGGTGTGACACAGAGGCAGTGGGATGAGGGGAGCCCTCTAGTCTCTGTAGAGCTACTGCTTTCAGGACGAGCTGGAGGGGGAGCTAGGAAGGTGGCCCTGTATGACCTCTGTATGACCTCCAGTGAGGTTGCTGTTGGAAGCAAAGACTTTGTGGGTCGAGACAGGTGGGGCCTTGGAGGTCTAGACTTTATTCTGGGGTTGCAGGAGCCCCAGAACGGTTTTCTTACCATTTCTTCCCTATCATTTTTCTTATTGAGTATCTCTTCTTTATCAGGTGCTGTTCAAAGCATTGAGGACACAGAGTTAGACCAGGGTGGGAAGTCCCTGGCCTCTAGGAGCTTATGTGGTAGTGTGTTAAGTGGATAATCACAGCTACACCAAGGTAGTCTGTGATCTCAACTGGCACAAAGCCAGGGATGGGCCAAGTGCCCTGGGGAGTCTGCAGGGACACCCTTGTGGAGGGACAGGAGTCCTCAGTAGATGCCGTCAAGTGAGCATCCAGTCCACTAAGAAGGCATTCCTAGAAGCTGGAGGTTATATACAGCAGCTGACATGCTTAGGCTAGGGCTGGGGTAGACATAGAAGCTGGAGGAGGTGCTCTTCTGAGTCTGTAGGATACGCAGGAGGCCTTGGCCCAGGGTGCCTCTCCCTGTCTATGTTCACGAAACAGAGGGAGCACAGTACACGCACAGTACCGTGTGGCCTCTTAGACAGTGGGTGTTGTCCCCACTTCAGAGATGAGGTGGCAAATACCTGTGCCAGGAGCACAGAGCATAGCCAGCCTGTGTCCCACAGGAGTGCTGACTTGAGGGGGTGGCTGCCCAGTGCAGGGAGTCAGGCAATTACAACAGCCACCCTGCTGGCTGGGTAGGTTAGGGAGCCATTGCCCTGAGGGCTGGGGAGCAGGACCATCCAGGCTTCAAGTCTCTTCCCCAAGGCCAGGAGGTTGTTAGTCAGGGTGTGGCTGGAATCTGAAGGACCATGAAATGCTTGCTGATGCTGAGTCACCAAGAAGGGTGGGGCTGGCTTGGGTTCTCCCTACTTGGGCCCCAATTTTTTCTTCTGAAAAATGGGGATGACTTACCTTTAACATGGCAGTGAACCCTTCTGGGTCTGACTAAGGAAGGGCTTGGCCATTCTTGCTCCAACATACCCCAAAAATTTGACGCCTAGCTGCCCCCATTGAGACAGAACTAGACTAAACTACTGAGCACTTGTGGGTGTCAGGAGGGTAGTTGGGACCCAGGGTTTCGACACAGGCCCGAGTCTACACATCTCTCAGGGCTGTCCAGTGGACAGTGGACATGATACTCACCTGACCTCTGGTTGTCAAGGCAACTGTTGAAGTCAGGCCCGTGTCCACCACAGTGCCTGTGTGAATGTATGTCAGAAGGAAGGAGGTGGCAGCAACAGAGTGCCTGCAGGGAGCCTTGTTCTCTTGAGCTGTGTTTCTGGTGGGAAGAAAAGCCAAATCAGAGGTTTCAGACAGGAAGCATCCTACATGGAGGATGAGCTAGATCAGGAGCCTGCATGCACACATGCCTGTGGTGGTCATGGAGTGGTGCAGAAGCCATGAGGGTTTGATGAAGAGGTGGGAGATGCTGAGAGAGGAGAGTGGGCCAGGCAGGTTTTGCTGTGTAGCTATGACTAGCCTGGAGCTTGCTGTGTAACCCAGATTGATCTTGAACTTCTGGTGACCCTCCTGCCTCTGCCTCCTGAGTGCTGGGGTTACAAACATGAGCTGTCAGAGCTGGCTCTGCTTTGCTTTGCTTTTCCTTTCCTTTTTTTTTTTTCTTTTGTTGCCAGGAGGGGAGCTTTTTTTGACACAGTGTCTCATGTGTCCCAAGTTGGTTTGGAACTTGCTATATAGCCAAGATTTGACTTGAACTGACCCTCCTGCCTCTGGCTCCAAGTGTGTTGTAGCGCCATGCCCAGCTTCCAACTTTTTTTGTGTTTGTTTGTTGTTTATTTTCTTGAAACAGAGTTTCTCTGTGTAGCTTTGGAGCCTGTCCTGGAACTCATTCTGTAGACCAGACTGGCCTTGAACTCAAAGATCCTCCCGCCTCTGCCTCCTGAGTGCTGGGATCAAAGGTGTGTGCTACTATTGCCCGGCCCAATTTTTTTTTTACTGTTTTTATTGAGCTATATATTTTTCTCCACTCCCCTCCCTGCTTCTCCCCTTCCCTTCTACCTTCTCCCATGGTTCCCATGCTCCCAGTTTACTTTAGATCTTGTCTTTTTACTTCCCATGTAGATTAGATCCATGTATGTCTCTCTTAGAGTCCTCATTGTTGTCTAGATTCTCTGGGATTGTGAATTATAGGCTGTTTTCCTTTGCTTTATGTCTATAAGCCACTTATGAATGAGTACATATGATATTTGTCTTTCTGGGTCTGAGTTACCTCACTCAATATTATGTTTTCTAGATCCCTCCCCTCCCTTCCCTTCTCCTCCCCTTATTCCCTTTCCCTTTCCCTTTCTTCTTTTTCTTCCAAGACAGGCTTTAGCTGTAGCTTTGGGGCCTGTTGTAGAACTAGCTCTTGTTGGCCAGGTTGGCCTCAAACTCACAGAGATCTGCCTGCCTCTGCCTCCCGAGTACTGGGATTAAGGGCAGGTGCCACCACTGCCCGGCCAGTCTTTCTAAATTATAAGTCCCTGCCTATCATTTCCCCTCCTGACCTTAGAATGCCTACTAATTACTTGTTTATATATGCTTGTATGAGAGGCAGCGGACAGGGTTGGGTAGTTAAGAGCTTGGGCTCTGAATGGAGCCGGGCACCTCAGGTAGAATTTTGGAGTGATCTAGCTAGGTGACTCAGCCTCTGTGCCTCAGTTTCCTCATCCACAGACAGGAGGCACAGCATCGCCTTATAAAGCCGTAAAGATGATCTGAAGGCTCCGGGACACGATGCATGCAGTGTTGAGCACAGTAGAGTCACTTGAGTGTCATCCATGTATGCTGGCTCAGGGCCAATGGGGAAGCCTGTGCGGTGAGCCCGGGTGGAACCATGGCAGGCAGAGCTCACTGGGAGCCTCCTGTCCTTCCCTTCCTGGGCTGTGATCTGTTTCCAGGTCAGAGGTGGACTGTGGGCTGGCAGAGCATTTCCTCCTCTCTAAAGGGCAGTAATGAAAGTACCTGAGGATTAGACTGGCCTGGCCTGGGAGGAGGGCAGCAGTGGACAGCTTGTTCGCCTGCCCCACCTGTGGCATACCCTTTTTCATCCTTGGATGCCTAGGACTCCACAAGTATCCTCTGGTACTGTTGCATGAGGGAGTGTGCAGCATCTCTGAGTAGCTGGGTGACTTCCTTCAGTAACTGTGCTGTGGAGGAGAAGGGTCGGGGAAGGCCTGGCTGGGCTGGAAGGGGCCCTATGCTGTGCACTGCTGGGTAAATGCATGTGTTCTATGAGGACGTGAGGATGATTTCATGGTGGCCAGAAGGCAGGGAGTGGGAGGATGGAGCAGTGGCTGGGAGAGCTGGAGGAGACTGACGTGGAGAGGTGAGGGCCTGTGCAGGAGCCATGTGGGTAGAGTTCCTGAATCTGTGGCCTTCGTGTGCTGTAAGCCCCGGAGTCAGGCACTCTTCCAGTTGCTTCATTAATCTGTGTGACCACCACGCAGCAGGGACCTCTTGTTTGTGTTTTTCAGATGGGGAAACAGGCTCAGAGAGGTGAGGTCACATGGCCAAGGCCTCCCAGCTAGAGTATGGCAGAGCTGGGACTCATTTTCAGGTCTGTGGGACTCTACCAGCTGCCTCTGCCTCTGCTCTGCCCGGCTCCACATGGCCTTGGGCAAGTTCTGTTTCTCCACTCCCTGGTCCCTACCCTCAGTTGGGAAGGAGTGGTCAGAGAGGCTTTTAATGGGAGTCAGGGATGGGGCATGTCCAAGAGCAGTCCTGGGAGCTTAGGCTGGGCCAACTTCTCTGGGCCTCCAGTGGAGAGGATGGGGTTCCCCTCAAGGCAGAAAGAGGAAGGGTTTGGGGTGCGGGAGGAAACGAGTGTGGTAAGAAGTTATCTGGGGTTCTGGGGACCTGCCTTCTGCTTTCCACTCTCTCTGAACTGCTGTGAAAGGTGATAGGAGCCCACAAGTGTTACGACTCATCTTCCCAGGGCTTTGATTTCCCGTTGGGTTGAAGGTGGCCCTTGACCCCAGGGTTAGAGTGTGTGTCAGTCACTTGGCATTTCACAGTTGGCTGCTGCGGTTTCAGGAGTACCCACTGTGCCGGCCTTGGCCTCATCAATGGCTTGTTGCTTCCTGCCCACTCTTAAACAGTTCTCCAGGCAGAGATGCCCTAGTCCAGGTAGGGCCTGTGTTTGCAGAGGCTCTGACTTGCCCAGGGATACAGCAGTGGTCTAATAACTCCTGGCTACAATGGTTTCTATCCTTAGAGACGTCTGCTGTCTGGTTCTAGGAGGCTCTACCAGGCCATGTGACCTTGGGCTAGTCTCTTTGCTCCTTTTTGCTTCCACTTCCAAATCTGTGAATGGGTGCTAATAGGGCCTGTCTCAGATGGCTGTTTGTGAGTTGAGTCGTGACTTAGGCACTTGGGGTCCAGGATGTTTGGCAGTTATCAGTGTTTTAGAAGTGTTGGCTGCTGCGATCCCCAAGCCTAGCTGGATCTTGCACAACTGTGCTGGGTATGAAGAGGCAGCACTGTTAACAGCCTCCCACGGGGATGTGGATGCTCCAGAGGAGAGGTTACTAACCCAAACTTGGGCTAGCATGGATTGTCTTTAGTTGCCCTCTCTTTGTCCCCTGGGCGGAGCTGCCACCTCCTTTGGGCAGATGTAGGTAGAGGCTAAGTGAAAGTAGGAACTGATGGTAGTGCCTGCTGATGGTAGTACCTACCGATCCTCTTGGTGGTACCTGCTGATGATTATGGTGGTACCTACTGATCCCGATTGTAATTGTAATTACCTGATGGTAATGTCTTCCATTCCTGATGGTGGTACCTACCGATCCTCTTGGTGGTACCTACTGATCCTGATGGTAATGTCTTCTATTCCTGGTGGTGATACCTACCATTCCTGTTGATGGTACCTGCCCATCTTGATGGTTCTTCCCGACACATAATGAACTCAGGGGTTTCTTTCCCTCTGTCTTTGGCCCTGTGTGGGCTTCATTATCCTCCCTGGGTGTGACCCAGTGGCCATTAGCAGCCTTAGGCTTACTACTCTGTCATCTTACCTTCTGTGGAAAGAGTACTGTACCTTCAGCAGAGCCTGGTCTCCTGTGCTTTGCCATGGCTCCTTGCTTCTTGCAGCTTGCTGGGGGGATGGGCTGTTTTATCTTGGACTCTCACTGTGTGAGAGGTGGTGTGAGGCTGACAGCTTATGCACTGATTCATTCACAAACAGTTGCAAACACTGAGCACCAGCTTGGTACCCAGGGTGTGTGCCTGAGCGACACAAGGTCCTTCAGGGTTCTGCTATCTGGGGAACTTGGGATGCTGCTGCTGCAGTGGGTTAGAAGACGACAGGTTCCTTTGGGAAAACCAGGCTGGATCTGGGGAACTGGACATGCTGCAGGAGAGTGAGCTGGTGGGTGGATCTAGAGTAGGCCTGATCTGGGTGGACCTCACTGGAGCAAAGAATTGTAGGAACTGGGGAAAGAAATACCCCTTGGTAGGGAGAAGCATTGTTATACTGGATGGAACCTGCTTGGTGATTGAGGAAGCAGTGAGGAAGTGTTGAAATTGGAGGTGGGTACAGTATCTCAGACCAGGCCTCCCAGAGAGGAGTAGGTATCCAGACATCCGTGGTGTGGCTCTGGAAGGGGGCAGAGCAGAGGGAAAGAGAACTGTGGTGCCCACTAATGAGCCACCCCTTCTCCTGCAGACATCCGGCTCCGGGTTCGAGCAGAGTACTGCGAGCATGGGCCAGCCTTGGAGCAGGGCGTAGCGTCCCGGAGACCTCAGGCATTGGCCCGACAGCTGGATGTGTTCGGACAAGCCACTGCAGTGCTGCGGTCAAGGGACCTGGGCTCTGTCGTTTGTGACATCAAATTCTCAGAACTCTCTTACCTGGATGCCTTCTGGGGTGATTATCTGAGTGGTGCCCTGCTTCAGGCCCTTCGGGGTGTCTTTCTGACTGAGGCCCTGCGGGAAGCCGTGGGCCGGGAAGCTGTCCGCTTGTTGGTCAGTGTGGACGAGGCTGACTACGAGGCTGGTCGGCGGCGCCTGTTGCTGATGGAGGAGGAAGGGGGACGGCGTGGGACAGAGGCCTCCTGATCCTGGAGCTGGCAGGACTGACCCCACCTCCAAGTCTCGGGGCAACCTTCTTCCCTGGAAGAAGACTATGTTGCCCCCAGATGACCATCACTTTAGCAACTCTGAGGACTGCGTCAGGTCTGCAAGTTCCTTGACTGCCTCTCCTATAGGATGTGGGCTTTGAGGCATAAACCACTTCCAGCTGCTTCCTTCCCAGTTTTCCCCCACTCCAAGTGGATTCCCTCAACTTTGGGTGCCAGGTTTGCTGAGCCCTAAAGCAGGGAGGTATAGCCACAGTCACCAAAGCCCCCTGCACATCGTGTCTCTCAGCTTGGGCTGATGCTGGCTGGCCCCACACACTTTAGCCTAAGGGCTTCTCTCTCAGGATCTCGGATTTTATTGTCCCCATCAGGACTTAAGCCACAGCAGTGGGCTCTGGAGCTGGGGTGCCCATGGGGCTTGCTCACCTTGCCCCTTCACTCATATAACCAGCCAGGGCTCTGTGTGGTGTACACACAGATATCATCCACCTCTTGCCCCTTTCCCCTGCTCCCTGGAGCTAGAGACAGCCTTGCCCTTGGACTCTTTGACCCAGAGTATCACGTGGGTTTTGTGGCCACAGCTGTTCAAGGTCAGTGTTGTGTACAGAGCTCAGGCCAGAACTAGCCACTCTCTCATGAAGGGAAGGCAAAGACTTGGGGCTGGTGGAAGATGTTTTGCAAATTGCGCCAATAAAACTGCCCCGGAAAGGGCATAGGTGGGCATCAAGGCTAAGTACTTTTTATTGGTGGGCAAGGTGAAAGATTGTCTTTCATGTGGTGGCCTCATGTTAGGGCTGAAGGAGATGCTGGCTCATTTGCCAGGTGCTCTGTTCCTTGGGCCTCACTTTCCTTAACTGTCAAAGAAGGAATTAAAGCCTCAGAGTCATTGACTCCCTGCCCTGTTCATACGTGCTTTGTAGAATTCTGTATGTTCATAGAGAGGAATTCTTAAATTTTATGTATATGGATGTTCTGCCTGCACGTATGCCCATTGACCAGATGTGTTCCTAGTGTCCAAGCAGGCCAGAGGTGTTGGATATCCTGAGTCACTGTGAGGGTGTGGGGCCCTCTGAAGGAGGAACCAGTGATCTTAACCACTGAACATTTCTCCAGCGCTTTCAGGGTGTGTGCATGCATATGTGTATGTGTGTGTGCGTGCACATACATACAGCCTATGGAAGCCTGAGAGGTCAGATCCCTGGAACTAAAATTCCCGGTAGTTGTGAGCTGCCTGGAGTGGCAGCTGGGAACTGAATTCTGAAAGAGGACCTCAGGATTTTCAGCCTGCTCAGGGAGAGGAGCTGATGGAGCCCTGGAGATGGGACACTGGAGAGGAGAGGCAGCCAGGGGTTTTCCAGTCCTCATCTTTCTAAAGCTGAAGCACTGCTTGCTGAGGGAGCACTCGGCGCCTTTCCTCTGAAGGCAGAGATGCAGGAGATGGAACTTCTGACACAGAACCCAAGTCTTCCATCCCTAGGGCCTAAGGAGGAGGACTTGACAGTTGGGAGGTGAGTGGGTACAGATTCCAGGGGCTGCCCTTTTCTGGACCAAGAAGTGCACTTATCCATGTCTAGGTTCCTTCCTGGACCTCTGCTGGTTGGTGGACAGGGACTCTGGTGGTTCAGTTTTGTCCAGGATATGGAGGGAGGCTAGTCCAGCCAGCTCCCTTGTGATTTGCTGGTGCTCATGCGGGAGGGGAGGCTGACTTAAGTAGCCCTTCTTAACTGTCCGACCTGAGAGGAGCCTCGGCTTTGTTTTGTTAGTTTGTTGAGAACAGGGTCTTCCTTGTAGCCCTAGTTGGCCTGAAACACTGTGTAGACCAGGCTGACCTACAACTCAGAGATCCTCTGCCCCTGCCTTCAGAGCACCATTAGGCACACAGTTTACCACAATTTAGCTTTGAGGCTCCCTTCTGGGTTTTATGTGTACCTGGAGGTGGAAACTGCCACCTGCCTTAGCCTAGGTCTGGCTCCCACCTCACTTCCGGGATGCGCCTCTGTTCAAGCCTTGTGGCTGCTCTTCTGACCTTTCAACTCCAGGTTGTGGCTTCTGCCTGGGCAGGTTTCCAGCTCCACCCCACCTTACCCCGTCACCTCTGCCTGGCATGTGCACCAGAAAGAAATGAACCTGTGTTGGAGGGAAGGAGCCCACGCAGGTGCAGTGTGTTCCCGGAAGCCTGTAGTGGTGCGAGCCTGAGGCATTGTCTGGCCTGGCAGAGCCATCCACGGTGGTGCATGCTCCACAGAGCTCTCCGGGGCTTGTCAGTGTTGGGTACTAGAGATGACTGACACCCAGAAGTGCCTTTGACCAGCACTGTGAGGGCAGTCCAAGAGCTTCAAAAGTCCAGAATCAGGATAGGATCCTGTGGGGGCTTGAGGATAATGGCCCCTCATTCCACATGGAACAGAGCTGAGGGCTGGCCTGTAAATGAGGAGTTCCCCAGAATGGTCCCTGTGTGTGTGGGGGGTGTGGTGTGGTGTGTGTTGGGTAGAACAGCCCTTTCCAGGGCCTCAGAGAACATTCCTGAATGAGATGTAGAGACTGCAGCTAAGAGACATAAAATGGGAAGAAGCCACCTGCACCCTCATTTGGTGTGCATTCCACCCACTTCCACGTTTTTCTGTGTGGGGAGTTGAGAACTGTCACAAACAGACATGGGGCCTTGCAATGACAATATAAGGTGACTAAGGTAGGTCTAGTGTGTGTGGGGCTTGACAGCAACTATTCCACGAAGCCTTTATGTCCCCGGGTTGCCTGAAGACCCTGAGAGCCCCTGTTCTGGTAACAAGCCACACTGGGGACTAGATGACTCACAGACCAGAGAGCTATGACTGAGTGAGCACTTGGCATAAACTGGAGAAGTCCCAGGACGGTGTGGGAGAGACGCTGCCTGTTTGTTAGCATCTTCAGGTTAAGCATTGAGTCATGAAATAGGACTTTCAGAAAAGTACATATGATACCACATAGTAAGGTAAAATCTTATAACCCCATGTCAAAAAATAAATAACTACAGTACCATCTCTCCAGGAGGTTCTACCAGTTCCAGCTGCCTCTGCCTTCCACACACCCAGCTGCTACAATGTATTTTTATTTTTTCATATATTTTGTGTTGTGTCTGACTTATTCGCTGATACTCTGAGGTTCTTCCATTTGTGCTTATCTGAAATTGATGGGTCTTGGTTGCTATGTAGTATCCTATTGGGTAGATACACCATTAATTCATGTGCTGGATGGATATTTTGAGATGGTCCCATTTGAAGCCGATGTGAACATTCTTGTGTATGTTTGTGTTTTTGTTTTGTGAGCAAATTCTTCTTTCCACTGGGATCTCACTTGAGGTAGAATTGCTGGCCATGAGTGTGAATAAGCTCTGGTTTAGTAGATACTGTCTGACACTGTATCTTATAATCCTAAAGTTGCCATAGACATAGTGACTTAACCAAGCAGAAGTTATATTTATTTATTTGTTGGTGGTTGGTTTTTCAAGACAGGGTTTCTCTGTGTATTCCTGGCTATCCTGCAACTCGCTCTGTAGATCAGGCTGGCCTCAAACTCACAGAGATCCACCTGCCTCTGCCTCCCAAGTTCTGGGATTAGAAACGTGCACCCCCACTGTCCAGCTAAATTAGTTTTCTCATTTTGTGTTTATTCACTTGTTTTGGTTTTAATGTTTGTTTTGTTATGCGTCCATGCAGAGCCCAGAGAAGGACACTGTATGTCTTCCTCTACTGCTTTTGGTCTTCTGCTTCCAGTTAGGGTCTTCCAGTGAACGGAATGATTTCAACAGCACCAAAGTCAGTCTCACTGGGCTGAAAGCAGACGTCCCCAGAGCCACCTCCTCTTTAAGGGATCTGCTCCTGCATTCCTTGTTCCATTTTTCACCTGTGACCACATAACCTACCTGCTTCAGACTTTTATTATTTATTTGCTTTGATTTAAGTAACTTTTTTTACTATCAAATTTTTTTATTTAAGTAATCCACCCAGGGGGAGAAATGGTTCTATGATTAAGAATACTGGCTGCTCTTGCAGAGGACCCAGGTTTGATTTCTAGCACCCATGTGGTAACTCACAGTAGTCTTTAACTCCAGTCCCAGGTCATCTGATGTCCTCTTTGATCTCTGTAGATACCAGGCACGTATGGTACACATACATATATGCAGACAAACACATGAAAAGATTAAAATATTTTTATTTTTTATGTGTATGACTGTTTTGCCTGTATGTCTGAATGTGTATCGTGTGTGTGCCTGGTGCCTATGGAAGTCAGAGGAGTGTGTGGGATCTCCTGGAATGAATTACAGATGGTTGTGAGCCACCATGTGGGTGCTGGGAATTGAACCAGGTCTTCTGGAAGAGCAGCCGGTGCTCTTAACTGCTGAGCCATCTCTCCAGCCCCTACAACAGTGGTTCTTAACCTCCCTAATGCTCTGACCTCCTGTTATGTTGACCCCCAACCATAAAATTATGTTGTTATGTCATAACTAATTTTACTACTGTTATGAATTGTAATATAAGTATCTGATATGCTACCTAAAGGGGGTCACAGCCCACAGGTTGAGAACCACTGCCCTGCAGTGAGTCTCTTTGAGGGACATTATTTTCTCCCTGCTATGCCATTTTATTTTTAGAAACAGTTTCCCTACAGTGGATGTACAGATAACACTCTCACCAACACTGAGAGTTCCCTGTTTCCTCACACGGCCTTGTTGTACACGCTTTAATTTGCTTCTCTGTTGGGTATGTAGTAGTGAATCATTGTGACTTATTTTCCTTCTCCCAGTGATTAATTTCCGCTCTTGTAAGAAAATACTCAAGATTGTGTGTGCGTATGTGCACGTGGTGACCAGAAGAGGGCGTTGGTTCCCATAGATCTAGATTAGATTCACAGGAGGTTGTGACTGCTGGATTGTGTAGCTGCTGGAAACCAGACTGTGGGCCTCTATAGGAGCAGCAGTGATAGCCAAGAGCTGCCTGGCTGCTGAGCCATCTCTAGCCTCCCCCTTCCCTGTCTTTTGAGATAGCGTTTGCTATGTAGTTTAGACTGGCCTGCTTTGGTTTTCCCCAGTGCTGGCATTACAGTTGTGTTACTGTGCCCAGGTACTTTCTGCTAATCTTTTTTGGGGGAGTAGGTAGGAGCAGTAGTTCCAGACAGTCTCATGTAGCCTAGACTAACTTGAACTTCTGGTCCTTCTTCCACCTCCTTATATATGTGTGTCACTATGCCTGTTTAATTTCTGCTTATTTAGTTTTTAGAATTATTTACAGTGTGCATGTGTGTGTGTGTGTGTGTGTATGTGTGTTTGTGTGTTGTATTTGGTCATGTGTATGTGGCACACTTGTGAAAATCAGAGGACAACTTGGGGAGTCAGTTCTTCTTTCTCCCTGTCTGGGGGTCCTTGACGCTGAGCTCAGCCTTTATCCTTTGAGGCACCTCACCAGCCTAGTTTCTCCTTGTTCTTGAGTAAGGACCCTGTGGTAGGGTGGACAAGGGCAGGCCCTGTCCCACCTTCTCTCCACCCCAGTGTGCATCCTGCCCTGTGATGACATGATTTATTGTTACCTGTAGTCACATCCTCTTCCCACCACACCTGCTGACAGCCTCCACCCCAGCAGTCCACTCCCTGGACCACACCTTGAACTGAGTCATTACCCGAAAGTGTACGGTACACAGAAGGACTCTTCCTGAGTACCTGCACCACGTGCCAGGCACAGGGCCAAAGGCTTTGCATGCATTTATTCCCTACACAAGCTTGTAAACATGGAGGTGAGATCCTTGTCTGAGTGACAGCGCAAAGTGACAGGCAGGACTGTCTGAGTCCCAGATTTAAATTCCTAGGGCTAGGGATGTAGCACAGTGATAAAGTGCTTGCTTAGCATGTTCAAGGTTCTGGGTTCTGTTCCCAGCATCGCACACAAATAT